ACGAATTTTTGTTTGGTTGATAATTTAATTTTAATTAGTAGTTATTAGCTATGTGGGTTGTTATTTTTAAACATTTGTTCCTAGGGATGGGCAATGGTTATGGCGGGCAAGTAACTGCGATTATTTACCCATAACCGTTTATGCTCATACCCGCATAACTGTTTACCCATTGGGTAATTGCCTAAACGGTTATAACTATACCCATAACCGTTTATAAACGATTAACCATACCCATAGCCGCATACACATTTAACCGTAACCGTTTAATACCCGTTTATCCATTTACCCCTTTTAACCCGTTTTTCTTTCTTTTTTTTTTACCATTACCCCTTTTTCACCCGTCTACATTTTTTTAATAACTTGAAAATTAAAAAAAAATATTGTCAAAATTTTTTTTGTTTTGACAATTAAACACCGTTATAGGTACATTCATCATATATTTCCGTATTTTAAATTTTTAAGTCCTTATACCATTCCAATAATTGCAATAATAGTTTACGGACGATATTTTTAATTGTTAAAGCACCGTTATAGGTACATTCATCATACATTTCCATATTTTAATTTTTTAAGTTCTTATATTATTCCAATAATTGAAATAATAGTTTACGGACGATATTTTTAACTGTTACCAATGAAGGTAAATATAATATTTGCTAAGTATTATTGGGTTACAAAAATTGTTTAGAAGACATTTCTATTAAAGCATTTCTGTCAATCTCACGGTTACCCGCAAAGAATTTAAATTAATTTGGCGAATTCCTTGATGATGAGAATCATCATTCCTGTAGCAGTGTTATTGAGAGAATGACCGATGAATTCCTTGCTAATTTATTGGGCGCTAAGTATTATTAGATCGAGAGCATGGTTTGTGTTAATTTTACATATATAAAACAAATGGGTAAACGGTTACCCGTTTATAACCGTGGTTAATACCCATAACCGCCTATTTAAATTTCGCGGGTAAGCAGTTATACCTATAACCGTTTAGTTATCTAAACGGTTACCCATAACCGTAACCGTTTAATTTAAATGGGCGGGTAACCATGGTTACCCATATCCAATAGGTATTTGCCTATCCTTATTTGTTCCAATTCAAGTCTAATCTTTAACAAAGAGTAATGCGTTGACCAATTTTTTTCAAATTGCAAATCATATGACGTGTCATTAAAAAGTTTAATTTAGTACCCATTTATTACTTATACATATCAATAAAGACTCAAAAACATCATTATTTTTTTACTCTCATATTGACAAGGTTAGTAAATAAGAAAAAACAGCTCACGATTTATGCAAAAACATTTTAAAAGTTAAGATGGAAAACAAAACTCATATCTACTTGTAAACCTGGAGATTTTTCGTTTAATTCTCACAATACAAAATAAATTAGTTTTTTTGTGTTTCTAAATTATTAAGTTTGAAGTGATTTTCTAAGTATAATTTTATCGACATCTTACGTGTGAAAACAAATAATTTTTTTTTATACAAAGTCATATGACCGGCCCTATTTCGGTACAAAGGAATTAGGTCTATAATTTGAAAATAACTAATACATAACAATGCATCATTAGACCAGAACGTCATATGACGGTAAACTCGTTAGATGTAAGTTTCTCTAATAGGCTTGTTATAGAATTATAGAATATAATTGAATGAGAGTAATGGTGCAATATTAATATATGTACCAGATGCTTAAGCAGAAAATGGTAACAAGAAGGAGAAGTCTTCTGTTATGATCAATGTATAAAATATCGATATTATCGACGATATTTCGCCGATAATATCGTTTTTGTGAGAGGACGATATTTTCATACGTATCCAATTAATTATCGTCAATATGTCGCGATATTATCGATAATATTGCGATATTGAGTATGCATCCGACGACGAAAGTCGAGAAGACAAAGTCGAGCTCGTTGAGGCCGAAATTGGGGCCGGGAAGCCATGTCACCGAGGACGCAGGAGCTGACTCCGACCACCTCCTCCATTAGAACCTTGAAGAGGAACTGCGGATCGGCGGCGACTCGGGATCTCCACCTATTGAGAAACTTACCCAGAACTCCGAATCCCGAAACTAACGACGACGACGAAGACGAGTCGTCGGAGTTCCCATCTCCGCCCCGGCTCCATCCCCCGCTGTTTCCTCCCGCTCCTGCGTTGCCACCGCCATTTTCGTCGAAAAACAAAAGCTCTGGCTTTTGGACCCAGATGGGCTTTGGGACGAAAAAGAGAGGGCGATTCTGGGTTTTGGAGTAAGGGAAAGAGATTAAAGAATTAGGATCTGCAACTCCAACTCTCGCAGCAACATCTGCACCAAACGCACTTGCATCAGACTCGCAGACGCACCTGCATCACAACTTGCATCTGCATCTGAATCTGGCCTTGCTAGAGGTTTCTGGTAAAACTAGAGAGAGAGAGAGATTTTCTGGGTTTGTGTGTAAAGGGTCACCGGCTGATAAGATATTAAAGTGGGTAGAGATCTGTAGAAATAAGTAAACAATGCTTTTCTTTACCTCATCTGTAGCATTATAGAATAAATTTATTTTTTATAAGAAAACAAGGCTGTTATTAATTGAAGGGCAAAGACCAATATTTGAATAAATAAAAAAAAGCAAAGTCCAATAATGAATTAAATATGTAAGCTAAGTAAATGTTACAAAATCAACATAAAAAACCCTAAAATATTACAAATATACTCATATTTTATAACATATATAGTAATTTTACGTAAATCCGCTTAGGGCCCGACTAACGCTTAGCGTTTTTTAGAATATTATCGATAATATTGCGAGATGAAACCCAAAAATATTTGAAAAATGCTGAAAAGTCTCAATCTTGCGCATAGAGGAATCCGAACCCCTCCCTTTGCCAACCACGCACATGGGCCTTATCCAACTCACTACATATGTGTTTGTGATTACATATTCAGCCTATAATATTTATATGGTTGTTAAGATGTCTGCAAGGCTTGCAAGTTAATATTTATTATCTACGATAAATTTCTATATTTAAAAAAACACCAAGGAAATTCGAACCCCTCCCATTTTACTCATTCAACACCTTGACCACCATATCACTTATGTTTTTGTGAAAATATGCTAAAATACACTTACTATACACATAGAGATGATGAAGATAGTGAACATTTTGAATCTCATAGGAACTCTATGTGGTACTAAGTTACTCATGTATCTTACCATGCAATGTATAAAGTGTAAAATATTGTACTAATTCATTATATATAAATGATTATGGTGTGTTTAAACTTCTTTCATTAATTACTACATATTTTCTACACTCACAATGTTTGTCAGCTCGCTATATAATCAACTTAAATCAGTTAAATCAATCATGCAATGCATTTCCTTCCAATTTTTTGCGATAAACTAATAGATAATTGACTAAATAAACATCATGCAAAGTTTCAATAAAAATTTCCAAGTTTTTCTTACAATTTCCGTGGTTTTTATTCAATTTTTATCGATATCGATAATATCTCGATATTTCCATCGAAATTTCCATGTTTTTAGACTACCGATTTCTGATATCATCGATATTTTAGACTTTGGTTATGATTATCGTCAATAACGTCACGTGATGCTATTAATCTAATTTGTGTTATAACTTATAACACAAAAATTTATGAAAAATCAATCTTATCGTTAATTCATACCATTACACGTGCATTTGTACGTGGAGATCTAACTAGCTCTCCAATCCACGCTGATGATATCCTCTATCTTATCAACCCCATTGCCAGCTTTGGTAAACATTATTGCTTAATTATAAACGAAGTTTAATTAACAATGGTGGCAGCCCAGAGACTGGTTCTCTCTCATATTTTCAGCCGTTGATCAGAGATCATGCATGCAAGTCAAATGTAGGTGCACATAATAATTATTATTTGATTTATGGGTGCATACCTTTGACAAATTCTAATTAGCCTTTCACCATCGATAATTGATAAGCTTACCTATCTACGTAATTGAGAACTTGTCGGAATAGTGAGGAACATTTTTTTTATGGTTAAGATGCACCGTCTTTGGGAATATATTTCAAATAAGTATTTGTTATTTTCTTATTTTAAGAATCAAATTCTATGGCCACTTAATATTACGATCTAGTGGTATTCCTTTTCGTTTGTAATGAAGAGGTTTTAGGTTCGATTATCGCCCAATGCGGGTTTGAACCACATTATTACTAGCCTAAACCCATCCCATTCCCTTAGTATAGAAAATATCGTTTATTCATAAAATAAATAAATAAAAAAGAATCCACTTCTATGAGAGAGTGTTGGTTAACAAACTCTAAAGTAAATTCAAGTGGAATTCACATATATTAAACGATTAACAGTCACACCGATAGCTACACAGATCATCCATTTTTAACATTTATCTTAACATTTTGGTGAGCAAGGTATCTTTCTAAAAGCGTCCATTTATGAGTCGCGTGAAGAATGATGACATTAGAAGTAAACACTAGTTTATCAAGTCAGTCATAATTAGTTTGGTTCTTGTTTGGACGAACTGGAAACTTGAAAAATGGTTTTAACTAATCAAACCCCGCTCTTTCCAGGTTGCTTCCCGGTTGTTGTGGAACCAACCCTAGCTCTTTTCTCTTCCAAAAGGACCACAACTCCACCTTCATCTAAAATTAACAATATCGATCAGTTGCATTTTGGAGCAAGCCAGATACTAGTTCAAATTGCTAATTAGACGATCGCTCATTGAAAATATCACTCAATCAGCAAATTCAGATTCACAATTTGACTACTAAATCAAATTATTCAACAGAAAGCGAAATCTCTATATATTTGGATACAAGCAAAGGGATTTAAATTTGACTAACTAGAAGAATGCATGCAGCTTGACCATATGATTCATTGAACATGATATATTTAAAATTAAAAAAACTAAAAATATGATGCAAAAATTGCTTGATTAATTATATTGAAAAATCAGATCCAGAGTCAGTCAAATAGTAAGGTTCCAAGCAAATAAGCAAATCCACCTCCCTCAACTGGAAACCGGACGGCTCTCCTCTATAAAACCCTTCCAGAACCAAAAACCACAACCATAAAATCAACTCTCTCTCTCTCTCTCTCTCTCTCTCTCTCTCTCCCTCTCTTTCAACACCATTCCCGGCTCAACTCTCTCTCTTTCTCTCTCTCTCGACACCATTCCCAGCTCAATGATGCTCTCCGAGTACCTGAAGAGTGGTAGTACTACACTCACACCAAGGAAAGGAATGTCATGCCTCTTTTCCTTCTCGCATGTCAAAAACCATTCTTCTTACACACCTTCAAGCACTTCCACCGGTCCAAAACCTTCCCCGACCTTGTCTCTTTCGATGATGGAGGAAAACATCGAAACAGCTGAATTCATCATCACGAAATGGGATCCAAACTCCTCCTCATACACCAAACTCACGTCTATCTTCCAGAGTAGCAGAAAAGAGGCCAAACAGCTTCTCAAATCCGTAAAGGACTTGCGTAGTGCTATGCATGTTTTGGTTCATGAAAGCTCTCCATCCAGCAAGCTCGTGCTTGCTCAAAACCTAATGCAAACAGCTATGAAAAGGCTTGAAAGGGAGTTTTATGAGATATTGTCTGCAAACCGGCGTCACCTTGACCCTGAATCAGTTTCAAGTCGAACCTCAATCGGATCATGCACATTTAATGGTGAAGACGAGGGTGGATCAGAAGAGTTGGAAATTGTTGGTGGGTCGATCACTGAGGTGGAGAGGGTCTCGGCTCTCGCCATGGCGGATCTGAAGTCCATAGCAGATTGTATGATCAGTTCCGGCTATGGTCATGAGTGTGTGAAGATATACAAAGTTATCCGAAAGTCAATAGTAGATGAGGGATTGTATCGCCTTGGAATCCAACAGTTCAAGTCTTCCCAAATCCATAAAATGGATTCGGAAGGACTAGAAAACATAATCATGAACTGGATGGATGCTGCGAAGATTGCTGTGAAAGCACTATTTCATGGAGAAAAAGTTCTCTGTGATCATGTGTTTTCAGCATCTGAGACAATCGCAGACTCATGCTTCTATGAGATAACAAAAGGAGGAGCAACCACCCTATTCAGATTTCCGGAACTCATAGTGAAGAACAAGAAGTGCCGGGAAAGAATTTTCTGGCAACTGGAACTCTACGAAGTATTCTCCAATCTTTGGCCAGAGATTGAATCAATATTTACCTCTGCATCAACCCAAGCAATAAAACTACAAGCTCTGGCATCGTGGCTCAAACTTTCAGATTCTGTCCAGTCTAGTCTTTCTGTCTTTGAATCAACCATTCAAAAGGATTCATCAAAATTTCTAGCCTCTGGTGGCAGGATTCACCCGTTGACACAATCAGTGATGAATTTAGTATCTTCATTAGCAGACCACCATGGAGCTCTCTCTGATATCCTTGCTGACTATCCACCACCGAAGAATCAAGTATCTCACTTCAAGAGCCCAATGGCAGATGACGGTTCAACACCAGCAGTGTCAGTCCACCTAGCTTGGCTCATTCTAGTCCTTATGTGCAAGCTCGACACGAAAGCTGAAATTTATAAAGATGCGTCTCTGTCATATCTCTTCCTTGCCAACAATCTTCAATTCATTGTTGAGAAGGTGCAGCAAACACCGAACCTGAAACTCCTCCTCGGTGAAGATTGGGTCACTGAACACACGAAGAAGTTTAAACTGTACGCTTCAAACTACGAATCCACAGCCTGGACAAAGGTGTTATCATCATTACCAGAGAAGTCATCAGAAACATCTCCGGAAATGGCAAGGGAATGCTTTAAAATGTTCAACGCAGCGTTTGAAGAGGCATACAGGAAACAGACATCATGGATTGTAGAGGATAGGAAATTGAGGGATGACTTAAAGGTTTCAATTGAGAAACTGGTACCAAGATATCAAGAATTTTATGACACATACATGGTAATGCAGAGTGGGGAGAAAAATTTGGAGTTGTTGGTAAGATATTCACCAGATGACTTGGGGAATTACTTGTCGGATTTGTTCCACAGGACTTCCACCTCAGTTAGTTCCACAACTTCATCGTCACTGTTGGCTTCACAACGATGCCTCCGCATCTAGATGCAATTCTATTACAAGACAAACTGTACCATTTTGATAACTAATACAGGTAACACAGAGAGAATAAGAACTGCCAATTTTCTCAAGCTTCAAGTTATTTCTATAACCAAGATATAGAGAACCATCTAGTCAATTATGAAAGAAATGAATGACATTATTTGCATTTATATCCCTTCAGATTCATTATTTCCCACCACGTCCCTTCAGATCAATTTGGAAGTTTATGAAAATTTTAAATTCAAACCAAATGATCATATATAAAGATGTATATGTTTGAATGCTTGACATTTCCAAATAGAAAATATAAAAATAAACTGATTAGGTCATGTTAACACAAAGTCAAACAATTGCAAAATATAAAGGTGTTAAATCCCATATCAAATAAACTCAACTGCGTCTGAGCCGGCCGGCCAATCTAGTTGAATTCTTTTCTCTATGCACGTTTAACGTGAAATAATTAATCTGGAAATACATCTTTATCTACAGGATCCATACATACATACATACATGAGAACAAGCATGTAAACATGGCATGTGTGTTATGGAGTGCTTATCATAATTGATAGGTTCTGTCTTTAAGCTACGACAGAATGACTTTGTCAGGGTTTAATAAGTCAAATTGACAAACTCATAAGTATTACAACAGCAGATAGCAAATCTGCTGGAGTTTATTAAAAATATAATCAAAGACTATTCTGTTATAGAACCTATAAAATCCTGTTACAGATGTAGTGAGAACATAAAATCATACAGTTACCACCTGCTCTGCTGGCCGATGAATGGATTGCCAGCCAGTAAGAATTTGGAGAATGGCTTTAAGAGAATCTGAGGCTGCTTCCATAGTCCACTGTGGATAAAATTCACTTGGATGGAACAGGCATTCTTCACTGAACCCTGTCAATGTGCATGGTTGAGCTCCATTGAGGAATAGATCGCCCTCGGATATTATGAAGCCAGACTTTGCCACTTCTCTGTCTGCTGCCTATTGGAAGATTATATACATTTGAAAAAGAATGTCTTCTCAGAAAAGGGATGTAAGTTGTACAAATAGCTTATATTCCTTTCAGTGTAAATAAATACCAGACGGTATGAAATTAAAAAGTTTCATGTGACTTTTTTGTCACTGTACCCTGCCTCAGAATAGAATGCTACTGTGGATATAATGAACCTACGTTCTTCTTGTTCATGTCAAACTATCAAAAAAATGAGCGAGAGATGGTCATGTACCTTTTCTGTATAATATTCAAAGGTTTTTTTCTTATTCCCTGCTTCATAAATGTTGCATTGAGAGTATATCTGATATAAACAACTTAATTAGATAATGCAGTTCAGATAGATTCTAAAGATCAAGGAGATAGTTACGAAGTTTCATTAACCTGGGATTCTATGCTGGCGCAAACGGCATATATACCCCAGTTTCGAGTGTAATTGTTGTAAAGATGAACTTTCCCAAATCTAAGACGAGGTTGTCTTTGCCTTGTTCCATCAAAAAAACAATGATGGATTGTCACCCGAATGCATCTGTCACCAACGTGCGAGGGGTCTGCTCCAATAAGCATCGTCTTGTCATGTTGTGCAAAGCAACATCTGGTTCCAAGGGAAGGAGAAACCATCAGATAGGTTATATCAGTATCCAAATTTATATCGTATTATAGGGCATAAGTTTAAACCCACCTAGAGATAGTTATGTCTGTACTTTGTCTGGTGATATCTATGAGTCCATCATCATAATCACGAAGGCTGCATCGGTCTATCCATATGTGCCTAGAGTTCGGTTTAATCTGAATGCCATCAACATCATGTCCTCTACCACCTTCAAACTCGAGGTTGCATACAATTATATGCTCACATTCCTTGAGCCTAAGTCCCTTTCCCGTGAGCTTTATCCTCTGACCTCGTCCATCAATTGTCTTATAAGACGACACGCTCAAGTAAGATGAAAGGTGAATGGTGCCAGAAACCTCAAAGACAATCCAGAGTGGTTCTTGTTTTCGGCATCCTTCACGAAGTGAGCCTGGACCATCATCTAAACACCAAAACATACATTCCACTCATCGATGCAATACGGAAAACATTCCATCCAGTAAGGAGACAAAGCAAAAATGTCAAAAACTATCTTTTTGTTTCCACCCTCAACCCGTTTTTTCAAAAATGTCATATTGATATTGCCAAATCTTATTTTTCTATCAATCAAAATTCAAAATAAGCTGTTTATAAATGTACATTCCAATTTTTAGTTTTTGATAAGTATTCTGAAAGATTGAGGTATGTTTGAGACTGCTTTTTAAAGGGCAATAAGCATGTTCTAACAACCAAAAACACTTCCAACTGCATTTTACAAAAAAATTGAAGTGTTTCTAGGTTGTAGAAGCCCTCATGGAGAAGCAACTGTTAGATGTTTCTTCAAGAAGCACTTCCATAAAAATTCAATTTTTTAAAATAAAAATATACTTCTACAAAAGCGCTTATGAACATAATTGCTTCCTGCTTAAGCGGCCCCAAACAAAACCTGGTAGTAAGAAGCAAAAAAACAGATGCATTACTTAGGAGTATGGAATCCAGCCTATCTGGTCCCTCATCCAGCCATATGCTACTTGATTACAGATCCTTGCACCAAATGGGCATCTAACTTGCAAGAATGGTTTCATTTTGTTCCATCTTCTTAAAGCAATAACAGCTAAAAATGCTAGTATTGCTCTCAAAATTTCAGTCCTTTTTTTTAAAATTTTTTTACAAGAAAAAAGAATATCTAAAACTAGTCCAATGGGCAAGGGCGATTCGAAATTCGTGCTCGGTGGTGAACCGTCCTAATCAACTAGCCTAACTCACGTCTGCGGTCTGCAAATTCTCTCATCTCTTCTAACCCCATATTCAATTTTGTTCAGAAACAAAACCCCACCATGATTCCCAAGCATCTAATTGACATAAACGACAAAAACAAAAATTGGGCAAAAATTAAAAACTGATAAGAATCATAAAAGAACCTGCCAACGTGGTGACGAAATAGACCGGCCCGTTGAGGCCTCCGATGGCGAACCGGCCAAAGCCCTCGGCCCGACCGGCCATTGATCTCAGGCTAAAATCCACTTCGGCGTACGGTAGCGAAGCCATGTCCGTCTTTTCCTGCACCTGAAATTGGAATCTCTCGGCCGCCTGTATGTGACGACAAGTCGTTAAACAATGCCTCTAAACTTTGATGCTTGTACCATTTTGCCCTCCAAACTTGAAATTTGAATTTTAGCCTCTAAAATTTTAATTTGTGCCAACATAGCCCCATCTAGATATCATGTCACAAGTTTCGTTTAATTCCATCACGTGCAATCAATGCCCACGAGCTTTTTTTTTTTTTTTTTTTTTTTTTGAAAAAAATAATATATTAAATAAAGTGACCACAATCACAATCAGTTCTAATATAATCAAAATGGTAAGCCTTTTTCTCCATATGGGTAAGCTTAAGCCACAAACTAGGTCTATCATAACAATTTAGGATTGAATTCATCATACGCGACAATTGAACTTAAAATCTCTCACTTACAAGTAGGAAAAAAAAATCATTATAGCATAATACTAAGTGACAGGTTCACAGGAAAATGTATAATACTTGAAATTACCATAATTGAGTTATGAGAAAAATGAAGAGTTCAAACTCAAACATCTACGACTTTAAATTTTATGTTGTACACATATGTGGGTTAAGTTGTTTGGCTAGTTACAATTTAGTTTCTTTTCTGAAAAATGAACAAAAAAACTTCTACATTTGACAAAACAAAAGATCGAAAACATCGACTCAACATTTGAGAAAAAAAAAAATAAAACCAAAGGTCCAAAACAGAAGGGAAAATGCCAGCAAGGAGACTAGCACTTAAGGGTAGGATGATGTAAATGGAGGGGCTGGTCCATTGGTTCAGTGTGTGGTGTTTTCTTGGCTTACAGGCTTTTACTGCTACTACTACCACTGCGACTCATAAATTTCTTCCTTTCCTCGTAATTACAGCCGGGATCTAATAGAGTCGTTAGTTTCGCAGTAGAGAATTTTATAATTCAATTTAAGATCGAGTCAAGAAGGAATTACGGCTCTAGCTTTAGCTCGCAATAAAGCTATTCATCATAGGAAATTATTGCATGCAATACAATGTTGTTATAATATTTCTCTAACGTGACATCATTTTACTGTATGAAAGTCACAATTAAAATCATTCATACCCTTTATCATCTAAAAATATTTCCTATAATTTATTTATTTATTTGTTGACCATTTACATTTAGTCATCCATATGTACCAAAGAAACTTATGTTTTACCGGATAATGTTATTTGTTATCATAAACGTTAATATTTTCGACACATCTAAACACCTAATTGATCTCCAAGCCGAATGAATTTTTCTAAAAACGATCTTCAGAAATTTATAAAGAAAATAAAACATAGCGAAATGATTATAAACAAAACATGGTGAACGACAGATGTTGAATTTGATCACGATTAAGTTACAAAGCAATTATCATAATAATTGATCACGTACTCAACATGTAAAATTTGAACGAAACCATTCATTAAAACCTTGTCTTAAAATGGCAACATATAAGAATTTATGTCGTAACCTAAACAATTAGTCAACAGTTTTAGTATAAAATCTCCACAAAGCAGTGAGCATAAGTAGAACTACCAAACATTAGAAATCTCTCAAATTCTCTCTCTACGGCCTCCATGGAGCTCTTGTTAGCAATGTGTTTATTGCTTCTAGTCTGTGCTTTCATCTACCTCTGCGAGTTGGTTCTTCAACGGAGGCACCAACAATGCTACTTGTTGGCTTATGAGTGCTACAAGGCCACTGACGACCGGAAGCTGGACACCGAATCCTGCGTCAAGATTATCCGCCGCAACACGAATCTGAGGCTAGAAGAATACAGGTTTCTCCTCAAAACCATCGTTAACTCAGGCCTCGGAGAGGAAACTTACGGTCCAAGAAATGTCATCGCTGGCCGCGAGGAGTGTCCTAGTTTGAAAGACTCACTTTGGGAGATGGACGATATAATGTTTGGCTCGCTCGACAAGCTATTCGACATAGCAGGAATTTCAACTTCGAATATCGACATACTTGTTGTCAACGTGTCGTTGTTCTCTCCCGCGCCTTCTCTGACGGCTAGGATCATAAAGCGTTACAAGATGAA